GAAGTGGCTTGACCATGGGAATACGGCTATTGTAGCCCATTTCCCGGACACGTCTGTGAACAGTGACTTTTGATACCTGGACTCCAGCTTCAGTCCACAGTCTTTGAAGCTCCCCCAAATTCTGGAAGCGACTCTTCTTCACAATGCTGTTAAGGCTGCGGTCATCTCTCTTGGTTGTGCAGCGTTTCCTGCCACATTTCCCCCTTCCAACAGACTTTTTGTGGATGTGCTTTGAAACTGCACTCTGTGAACAGCTTGCTCTTTGAGAAATTTCTTTTTGTGTCTTACCCTCCTGATGGAGGGTGTCAATGACGGTCCTCTGGACAGCAGTCAGATCAGCAGTCTTCCCCATACTTGTGATTTAGTTTACTGAACCAAGCTGAGTGTTTTTCAAGGCTCAGGAAACCCTTGCAGGTGTTTCGAGTTAATTAGACGATTCAAGTGATTCGTTGAACACCCTACTAGTATACTTTTTCATGATATTCTAATATTTAGAGATAGGATATTTGAGTTTTCTTAAGCTGTATGCCATAATCAGCAATATTAAAATAATAAAAGGCTTGCAATATTTCAGTTGATTTGTAATGAATCCAGAATGTATTACATTTTTGTTTTTTTAATTGCATTACAGAAAATAAAGAACTTTATCACAATATTCTAATTTTCTGAGACAGTCCTGTATGTGTCATCCCTGCACCAGGCAATGGTTGCTACATTTTAGTCTTTCTTTAAATGTAGCAACAGTTGACTGTCCACTGTGTACATATACTGTATGCTGCCTACAGTATAAACATGTATGGTACATGTATGACACAAACACTCCTACAGAAGCTACTGCAAATTTAAACTGGGAGTCAGCAAGTTTTGTTTACTGTGAAAAGCCAAGAGGATCTCTGCTCCCCTCTAAGAAAAGAAAAAAACATCTTGATTGTTGAGTTGTAGTTTGATCAGATATGAGTCAGTGTTGGTACACACAAATGTTCAAATATGAAAAGACACGTTTACATTCCTTGTTTCGTTTTGGCCACGTGATAGATCTCCAACTTATGACACCTACAGTATGACTCAGTAGCTGACAATGCTCTCTGTCAATAACAGTCACGTTTCAGTAACAACTGCGTCTGCAGTTTAAACCGATGTTCAAATGTTTATGCAGACCAGGCACACATAATCCTTATCAGTCATACTAACAGGAAATGTGGGAATGGGAAAATTCACGCAAATAATAATATACAAATAATTCCGGCTAGTCCTTAAAAGGTCAATTTAGAATGTTTCAAATAGTTTCAAACTCTAGCTTTTATTTGGTTAGTGCTCGACAAAAATGTCAAGTAAAATGTCAAAGACTAATGTTCCATTGCCCACACCACCGGCTCCAGTTGCCTGCATTCTCCAACCTGTCCTGGGATGGAATCTCCTCCTGCTAGAAATGTAAACCACAAAATGTCCCAAGTGCTCCAAGTTCTCAGATCGGTAGCACTGCTAACTGAGCTAACAGCTAACTAGGTAACTAGCTGTTAGCTTTATTTTAGCAACAAGAAAAGTTTTTCTGACCATCAAAAGACTGTGTAAATCAGTTGGGGCAGAGGTCCTGGAGGATAAAGAGGAAAAAACCTGTGAACTTTTAAAATATAATATGATCATCAAAACAAACTAAGAGCTGCAAAGCCTTACGCACAGTTCCAGGTATACGAGCTGCTCATCAAAGTTACACAGTACAGGAAAGGCTCAGAGTGGGACTGGCAGAAACACCATTGTCCCTATTAGTCAGCCTCAGAACTGTTTTATGTTAATGAAAGGAAAAATGGTGCGAAATGGCCTATATACACGTGACATGCCTTACCCCCTTGTATAACACATTTTACAAATTCAGAAGCTGTATTTAATCTGCCGGAATTCCCATACCTCCCTCTACCCTTCACCTTCTGCTGCTTATCTGCCCCCCTTCCACCTAATCACCCATCTGTAGGCTGTGGTGATAGTTATCTTATCATCACTCCACTAAACTTTAGCAGTGAATTAATTGCGTAATTACCGCTTGCCTCACATTGAATTTCCACAGTGTCACTGGAAATATTTATCTGAGAAAGACCCCCATTTAACCATAAATCAGAGCTTCAGAGCAACAGAGATCAGTGATGTTGAAAAGATTTGCAGGGGAGTGACTAGGCCAAACTCAAACTATGTTGCTGTTAATAAATATTCAAACAGGATTTGTCTGACTGAAATAACCTTAATTCAGCTACCAGATAACTGACTGTAAACTGCACAGTGGTCTTGAATTGATTTCTTAAAGTTTTAAATGTAACTCATACTAGAACAGTGATAAGGTTCCCTCTAATCTTTAGCTGTCAGTAGTGACAATGAATTGGAAATATTCCTCTGAGAAAGACCCGCATTTCACCAGAGGTTCACTGTAATACTTGTTTCATTATGAAACAATTGAATTATTATTACACTTGCATTACTGTCAGAGCAGGATTTTACTGCAGTTGGTTGCCCTGGAGACCTTAAATTAAACCTTAAACTATCTCCTTTGGCTAACCGAAGGACAATACCCAAAGAGTATTACGTTTACTGTACTTAAAGAGGTTCACCGTTGTCAAGTCCCTCTTACTAGTGAGAGGAGCATGTTGATATCCATTACTGGATGCAACAACATACGATCCCTTCCTGATGAACTTCAGGACCCTAAATCAGTTATCAAGAGATTCTTGATTATGTTTGTGATCATTTACTAATAGATGAAAGGGTCCATTTGTACTTAGACACAGTAATTGAGTAAGTTTATCAGTTACTTTCCTAAAATGACAGAGATCAAACTCACTGTGTTTTTGATCTCTGACTGATGTGAACTGACTTGATGCAGCTGCAGTGGGACAGCGCTGCCCCCTGTTGGGTTTTACTCACATTGCATGCCTCTGTGTTATCCTGTCGATGGGGCAGCAGGAAGGAGAAGGCCCTCAGATCTCCGTCACACTCCTCCACCGTCTGGTTTAGCTCCTGGCAGCTGGTCACCACCGTGTAGAAGTGGGTGGGGACGGGCAGGGCCTCGGCCGAGACCCTGGACAGAAGAGAGAGTTACACTAATGTACAGCGGCCTGGTGTTTTGTAATATGTCTGTTTGTTTGCTTCTTTGTTGATTGGGGAAAGAGAAAAGTGATTTGATTTGATTCACTTTTATTTGGTATTTTGTATCATCCATGCATGTGAAAGTGCATTTTCTGACAAAAAGCTTCTTACAAGATCAATAATAAACCTTTCAGCCTAATTGTAACTTTATTATGTCTTTCTCATACAGTTGAAGTAGAACATTAAAGGGCCTGTCAGTGTGATACTGGTCAGTTCTTACTCTCTGATCTTCTCCGTGGTGTCTCGCAGGCCGTCGTAATCATTATCAAATATGGGTCCAGCTAGAACGTTGATGCCGTTGTTTTCCTCTGCGTAGCGCCTCAGCAGCGTGCCCTGCAGGTAACTCCACATTCCTGCAGATAGAAGAAAAAAGGATCAGGTGCTAAAACACAAAGCATATATCTTATGATAAGTCTCCTTCCTAAACTCATCAACCCGTTTCACTTCTGATGTAAAGATATCAGGATCAGGAGTGCTGCATGTTAACTGCAGTTTGAACGTAAATGCATGCAGGATGCACTGCAGAGGGGGGGCTTTCAGATCACATCTGGATGTCCTCTGGCTCACATTGCAATCAAATCTCAGCTACTGTGGGTATGCAAAAAAAGATACAGAAATATCACATTTTACATTCTCTGAACATTCAATGTTGTTGTTCAGCTCAATATGATGATATATTTTCAGTTTAAAGGTGCTAATGTTTATTTTATTTTATTTTATTTAACATTAAATCAATCGGTTAATTTTCACTGTTATTACAGTATATCAAATCCTAATGTTGTGTCAACGGTTTTTAACCTTTAAAACTTGCGGGAAAAAATATCATCTGCATCCTTTGCAAATCTAATCAAGTGTTAAATCAGACTTTAGTTCCACCTGGAGTAAATCCACAAGCTACCCTGCAGTATACAAAGTCATTCAAACTAGCTGCACCTTCAGCTTTGAGAACACTTTAATGATCACTCATTATAAAACATATCATATATATTATTCTGAAATGGGACGAACTTTACAACCTTTTATGGGCTAGAAATAGAAATGTGTTAATAAACTTTAAAAGATATGTGAGTGAGACATATTTTTGGTCCTTTAAGGGGATTTTAACTTTCATAATCTAATTTAGGAAACAAAACATATTCTGTATCCTGCAAGACTATGTTTCTTGTTCAACTCAGCACTGTCCGCACACTGATCCTGATGTCATCAATCTACATACAATATGTTCCAGCATTAATAATGCAAAACTATAAATTCCCCAGACACGCACTGTGTTCCCAGCACTGACGACAATGAGGATTATGTGTATCTGCATGAGACAGCGATTCAGAGAGCGTGTGTTTGTCCTGATAAGTCCTCTCTCTGCAGAAACAATGAGTGTCAGGAGGTGCTCGCTCAGACCTGACATCACCACACTTATGTCTCTTTGTCTCATCACACTGGGTGTTGCTGATTTACAGAAAGAGAGAAGGCACTCATTAAACTGGTCATCACACACAGCTGAACGATGAGGCACTAACTCTTAATATTGGACAGAAGCACTGCAGATCATACTTGTTTAAAGACTGTTAAAGGTTGTAGCTTGTAGTAACAGACAAACTCACTGATTATAGTATAGCACATAGCACATGTTGTATTCAACAAGAAACTCACTGATATTTGTGGATGTATGGCTCTTAACTCACAGTTACTCATTTAAGTAAGGGGATAGTTTTATTGTTTGATGTTCCTGATATTTGACCACCACCAGGTAGTATCTGCAGAGATACATGTAAAGTTAATCAGTCTCACATCATGTCAATCCAAATCTGAATATTTGATTTGGCTCGTTGAGGTTTTATGAACTTTTGCTGGTTCAAAAAGAGTTTTCTTCGATGTATGAAACAGTTTAAGTGCTCTTTATGTATAACCCGGTGCTACAAGTTTACCCTTGTTGATATGAACTTGTTTTTTAAGGGTGTGACTCACTCTTGAATGCAGGGTACATGGGGACCATGTTGGTGATGAGCGAAGCGTCATATCTGGACTCTGGAGAAGATGCCAGCTCTGTGAAGAAAATCCCAAAACACTCTTAACACGTGGAAAACAAATATTTCCATAATGCAAACATTACAGAGAGGCTGTGAACATTAAAGCATCAGAGCTGAATCACTCGGGTACATTTTATTTTTGCTCTGCTATAGTCTCTTGACAACATGTCCTTTTCAAAATGTAATTTACAATTGTCAGTATAAACATTGCATCACATTATAAAAGAATAACTGTAGCTGTTAGTATTTCATAATCACAGCCTGATATTATTGGTAATTTATACAAGAACAAATGTTAACTGCTCATTGAGTAAAACTGATCAAAACCAGAACTTTACGTGGACAACATTTTGTAATAACATTAGTTCCTGTACTGCAGTCAAACATAAATACAAAGGTGATGCATCAATTTACTATTCACTGTAAACACAAGGTTAACATATATAATTGAATGCCATAAATAATCTAAAGAAAGGTGTATCATTGAGTGAGTGAGTGAGTGAGTGCGCAAGGCTTAAGGGGACATTATGCATTTCCTGTGTGTGTAGGTCTTATCTTCTATTATCTTGCATACTACTGGACTCATCAGCCTATGTGTGTGCTCCTCTCCTGCAGGTTTACCTGGAGGGTAGAGGGATCCGTAGGTGAGATGGTTGTTCTGGCTGTAGGAGGTGCAGCTCTGACTGTGATCAGCTGACACTCTGGGGTCCACTCGGATACACTGAGCCCCGGCAGAGACCTCCGGGATGGGAGTCATGTCCTCCTGACAGACAAAAAACGGGAAAGTAAGAGAAAGGAAGGTGACAAATTGTCACAATCTGTCTGTGTTGTGATTTGTCTTGTCTAGATCTGTCTTTGGTTTTCTGTCTGCGTTGTGTTTTGTCTTGTTTAGATCTGTCT